AATAACTATAAAACACTGGGTGGAGGAGGAAATAGCTCAATAGAAAAAGTGTTTGCTGTACAAATGCAAACGTCTGAATTTGATCCCAAGGACCCAGTTTAAAAAGAAAAAAAGAAAAAAAGTAAGCCAGGGGCCAGGTATTGTGGCAGTACACACCTTTGATCGCATCACTTCGGAGGCAGAGAGAATCAGTAGATCTCTGGAAGGTCAAGCCTGGTCTACATAGTGAGTCCCAGGCCAGTGAAAGCTATGGAGAGACCATGCTAAAACAGAAAGCCACACTGGAGTGAGTAAAAGCACTTGTACAAACGACCCAAGTTCACTTGGCTGCCAGAAAGGTTGGCATACACGATTAAGCTCAGAAGTCCTACAGCGTGGGAGAACATGCCAGAAGCCTATGGATCAGCTAGTTACCCTAGAGTACACTTGCACAGGTCAGAAACAAGAGAGATCCCACCTCAACAGAGTAGAAGGTGAGAACTAATTTCTAAAAACAATTCTCTGATCTCCACCCAGGCACTATAGCACATGGCTAGCCAGTAAAGTCTAACTGGGAATTTCCAGGCAAGCAAGAAATCTGTTAGACTTTACTGGCTAGCCATGTGCTATAGTGCCTGGGTGGAGATCAGACCCAGTCTCTTGCCTCCGGATGCACACTACACGCATGTGCATATGCTCGCTGTTTTATAAACACGACTCAGCACAGAGAGAATGCTCAGGAATCAGCAGCTTCTGCAGCCACAATGGGTGGGCACTGTGAGTCTGGTTTTATCCAGAAACATCAAGGACACTGTGTCACTTGTGAAACCCAGCTTGAGAGAATTCTCCTCCCTGTTCCTGTAGCCATATGCTCCAGCGAGTATGAAAAATACCTAACCGTGCTTTCGCTTTCGATGCTGAGAAAAAGATCTGGGAGCTTGTGGAAAACAAACAAATGAAGTCTGGGTCTTGCTAAAAATGGACTCCTCAATGAGAAGTTGGGGGAGCTTCCATGCCAAGGTTTTGAGAAAAGAAAGTCTGTGAGGAGCTAGGGGCTGATCTGAGATGACTGGGTCCCCAGAAACACACCAGGCACCCTTAGAAACCATTCAAACTTCTGGAATCAATCTCTGGGAACTTTCTGGTTAATCAGGATGGTTAATGCCTATCCAGTAGTGTTTGTGTAAGAAATAACTGTGATAATGGCTGAACGCTGTAAAAATGGCTTAAACCTATAAGGAAAGTGCTAGAGAGCCTATGCTGCAGGCTGGGGGGGGGGTGCAGAAGAAATAGGAAGAGACTGACAGCCCTGACTTTCTCAGCCTCTGGTCCAGAAAAAAGGTAACTAGGACAGACTCGGCGGCCTGACACATTATCCTTCCCTTGTGCCCCTGCCCAGTCTTCCTAGTCTGTCAGAGGGGACCAGTGGCTGCTCCAGCAGGCGTCCAGCCCGAGAAGCCCAAATGCCCCAAGCATCCTGCCCACCCAGGCTCACCAACACCAAACCGAGGCCTAGTCACCTCCAGGGTAAATCTGGCTCCTTTGTGCATCCAGAACTGCTCTGCCCACCTCTGCCCAACTCACAACCACCACCAAACACCACTAGGCCGTTCACGGGTTACCTGGAACCCTGCTAACAGCCTCCTTTTATAGATGAGAAAAATGAACTGGGAATAAATCTACCCAAGACATCAAAGGTTGTCCAGAAATTATAGCAGGGTTCTACCACAGATCTGCCTGAACGCAACTACCCAATGTTAAAATAGGATATGAAAACGGAAAAGAGCTGTTTGTGGGGTGCACATACAGGGAAGATGTTTAGTCCCCCACAATGCAGAGGCCTAGACTCAGCTTTGGTGTCTGTGCTGTCTTCTGAACTGAAACCAGCTTTAAGGTTCAGTGATAAATAAGCTGTTCCCTCCTCCATGAGTCCAGCCCAGCCTTTTCTGTTTCAGTTTTGAATTTGATCTGGTTTCTCATTGTTGGTAGCAGTTTGTTTTGTTTTGTTGTTGATGATAGTGCTGGTGGTAGTGGATTTTATTTACTTACTTTTGAGATGGAGGGTCTTGCTGTATTGACCAGCCTTGCCTCCAACCCTGCAAGGCACCTCCCCAGTGGTAGGCTTACAAGAAGTGTGTGTGTGACCATGCCCAGCTCTACAGCTCTCTTAGACAGGATGACTGTAACAAATGGGCTGAGCTAGGGGAATGTGTGAGCAGTTTCCATGTGTATCCTAACATCTAGACTGGCCCAGCATGCTAAAGGGTGAAGACTGGATCCACTCCACTGGTATCCCGCCTGGCCCTTACGGGTCTCATCAGAGGCTGAGGGCCTCTGGAGTGGACACTGCCTACTCCTCCAGCCCTTCCCAGATTTGAGAGTGAAGACACAGCCTGCAGGAACAGAAGCCCCCACTACTCTTGAGAAGCATCTTCTCTCTCCTCTCTCTGTACCCTCACTTACTCCACAGAGATTCCCCAAACGTCAAGCTCAGATCAGAATGCACTCAGGCCTAGCATGGTGGTTTATGCCTTTAATCCCAATGCTTGGGAGGCAGAGACATGAGGATCTCTTTGAGTTCAAGACCAGCCTGGTCTACATAGTAGATTCTGGGACAGCCAGTGCTACACAGACACTCTGTCTCAAAAGAGCAAAACAACAAAACAAAAGAGAAAGCACTCAGTCAAGGGAGTCAGGACTCAGGAGTGGAAGGCATTCCTGTCACAGGACTTAAGTTTCAGTCTCAGTTTGAGCACCCACTTCCAAGAAACCATCCAAAGTTCAGCAATACAGTAGGTAGAAGATGGAAGCAACTGCCATCCAAACTTCTTACCCAGTTAGAAAGCTTAGGGCAGGGAGAGATCTGGGCTGAACTTTGGTGTCAGCCTCCTCCCCATGCCCTCCCTGCACAGGAAGCTACCCAGCCTCTAGCCACAGCCCTGCATTTTTAGTTTGGGTTTGGGTTTTGTTTTTTAAACTTTTTTTTTCCTTTTCTTTTATGTGTATAGGTGCTTTGACTACACATATGTCTATGCATCACATGTGTACAGTGCACTTGGATGCCAGAAAAGGGTGTCAGATCACTCGGGACTGGAGTTACAGACAGTTGTTAGCTACCATGTGGGTGCTGAGAATTTAATCTACATCCTCGAGAAGAGCATCCGGTGCTCTTAACCACTGAGCCGTGTCTTCAGCCCTGTTTTATTTTGTTTGAGACAAGGTCTCTCTACACAGCCCAGGCTACCCTCCTCTTGTATCAAGGTCCAAATGGTGGGGCTCAGGTGGGTGCCACCATGCCCAGCTTCACAGGCCTACTGATGGGCGATTACAAATGTTGAACTTAACGCATGGAAAAGAGTGGTGAGTTTCTCTGCCCAGCCTGAGAGGAAAGGGGTCGTTGGTGAGATTTAGACTTCTATGCAAACCTCCAGTTGGCACATATTTATTTCTTATTCTTTCAATTAAAGTAAAATGAAAGGGTGGTGAGACAGCTCATCAAGTAAAGGAGATTGCTGCCAAGCCTGATGACCTGAGTTCAAATCCCAGGACCCAAATAGTGAAGAAGAGAACTAACTCCTGCAAGCTATTCTCTGACTCCCACATGTTTGCCATGGCATATGCATACCCCTGAAACACACACATACACACACACACACACACACACACACACACACACACACGCACGCACGCAAGCACGCGCACGCGTGTTTTTTAAATTGTCTACTACATGGAAGTTAAATCAAAGAACACTCAGTTACACAGTGAACACACAACAGAAGCACACATGTATTTTCAATAGTCAGTTCCTAATGTCTCAGCAGGGTCCAAGCTTTATATGCAGTTTATGGTGCTAACTTCTGTGCTTTTATGTTTTCCTGGGTATAAACAGAAAGAAAAACAGTATGGCCTGGCAGTATCAGAAACTGAAAGTGCAGCCTGTAACTAGCCTCAAGTGACTGTTCTGGGAACTGCTAACTTGTAAGTGATGTTCCACTCAGGGGATCAGAATGAATTTGAACTTGATTAAAACCCACAATAGGTAATCAACTGGAACACAATCCCAAGTGGGCTGTCTGCAAAAACCTACAACCGGAACCAAGTTGATAAAGTCCCTGTTAAACTGAAGAAGACATTTGCCCAGTTACGATCTCAAGATATCATGGGTTAGCAAAGAGGCTGAGACTGGGATGTGTCTCAGTTAGCAGAGTACTTGCCAAGCATGCATAGGGGCCCATACCTATAATCCCAGCACTCAAGAAGTAGAGGCAGGAGAATCAGATGTACAAGGTTGTCCTCCCTACATAGCAAGCTTGATGTGCGCCTGGGCTAGCTGAGGCCTCATCTCAAAAACAAACAAAAGTCAAACAAACAAAAAAAAAAACAAAAGACAACAACAACAAAAAAAAAGCCGGGCAGTGGTGGTACATACTTTAATCCCAGCACTCAGGAGGCAGAGACAGGTGATCTCTGAATTTGAGGTCAGCCTAATCTACAGAGCAAGCTCCAAGACAGGCTCCAAAGTTACAGGGAAACCCTGCCACGAAAAAAAATAAATAAATAAATCAGAAAGAAAAGAGGGATGGAGAGAAGAAAGGAATGAAGGACAAGTCAGAGCTGGGAATTTGCTGGCAGCAGGGATGGCCATGAAACGAGTCGGTTGATGACAGAAAAGCCCGCTGCCAACCGGGTTCAACTTCAGACATTCTACCCCAGGAACCTGCCCTGTGTTCCTGGACTAATAGAAAGACCCAACTTCCAACTTGCCCGCCTCTTCTGCCTTCTATTGAGCCTGTTTCAGCCAGAGTGGTTTCCAACCTACTCACTTCACCAAGTGCTGACATCGCGCAACAGGTGCCAGCTGACCCACAGCTGATACCTGATCCCAGCAGTAGATGAAGTGTGGCTCCTTCACTACAAAGCTCCTCATCAAAACAGCAAGCCAGACCCCGAGAAAACAAGAGTCATTATTAAAACGCTACCCCATTCCTGGTCCACCCTTGGCCCCCCCAACCCGTACTTACTATCGGTGCTGGCATCTTCTTCGGCTACGTGTAGGACTCAACTTCAGCTTAGTAGTGGCATGGATGCCTAAGGTATAGAGGGAGCAGTGCTTATTTGTCTCTAACAAGAAGCAGGGTCCAAGCAGGTGGCTTCCAGCAGGGCCCTCTAGGAACAGCTACCAAATTCCTCCAACTTTCTCGGTCTCCACTTGCTCTGGAATCGACAAATACCTCGCTAGAGGCCAGGGGCGGCTCACCGGATCCCTGGGTGCTCGCACTCTTTCTGGCCAGGCATTCGAGCCATCTCTGGCTGCTTTCTCTGAGCCACTGCCAGGTGGGTGGCAGCTACGCGTCTGACTTGTTTACGCCCGCCCAGTCGCTCTCTAGCTCCCAGACACCCGGCGGGGACCCGCGGAGGCAGCCTGGCTTTCTCACCTTTGCTTTGGTCCCAGAAAGAAGCGCTCCACCCTCCTCGGTTCACGAGTAGGCAAGCGAAGCCAGAGCAAGCAAGACTGTTTTAATGGCCGCAGAGTCCGGGCGGCACCAGGTCACCCCGCCCCTCCTCCTGTGACTGACTAATGAGAGCGTGCCTAGGGCCTGCTGTGTCCTGAGGGGGGTGGAGGGGGATGTTGTCACTTACAAGCCTCGGCTTGGTGCTTAGCCACTCTGCTCCTCCGTCCCAGATACCCCTGCCCCTGACAGTCTTCACACACCCCTCTGCCAGTGCCTAACATGTAAGAACATGTCACATTACTTTTAATCTTTTGCATGAATAATACTGAAGGGTTATTTATCTCCTCCACTCAAGAGTGGATGCCTGTAATCCTAGCTTTTAGGCACGAAAATTGCCATGAGTTCAAAGTTAGCCTGGGCTACAGTTTAAGACCTTGTCTCCAAAATGATGATGATGATGATGATGCTAATAATAGCAGCTGGGCCTAGTGGTTCATGCTTTTGGTTCCTGCACTCAGGAGGCAGAAGCAAGTCTGTCTCTGTGTGTTGGAGACTAGCCTGCTCTACACAGTAAGTTCCAAAGTAGCAAATATAATAATAAAATAACAGTAACAACATCAGTTATATGGGGCTGAGAGGATGGCTCAGGAGTTAAGAGCACTTGCTGGATTTGGTTCCCAGCACTCACATGGTGACTCACAACCGTAGGTAACTCTAGCTCCAGGGAACCTGATACCCTCTTCTGACATCATTAAGCACCAGGCACATTTAATGCACATGTACACACTCTGACAGAACACGCACACTCACTGTTGTGGGGTGTGTACCAGGCGCACACCTGATGCACATGCACACACTGACAGCACACACACACTTACCACCAGAGATTCTGCTCAGACTTGGGTTTAAGCCAACAGAATGTCTTTATTGGCTGGGCGGTGACCACACTGTGAGTTCAGGATCCCAATGTAGCACTGAGCCTTTCTCAGAGTGAGCTTTTAAATAGAAGAACCATGTTCTGGGCTGACACACTGAGTTAACAAGAACAGCTAGCCAGAAGCGAGACTACAGAGGACAAAAAGTAAGGTTAGTGCGTTTACAGCTTTCCCAGAGCTATGGACTTTGATGCACTGGGCCTTTGTTCTAGTTTTGGCAGGTGGTGCTGTCTACCTGCCGAGTTTTACAGCCTCGATGGTACTTCCATCCTGGAGTCAGTTGTACTAAGTTCTTGGGGCCTACTAAGTCCAGGGCCCTATTACACTCAAAACATAAATCTCAAAACATTTTTTTAAATTGAAGTTAAAAAAATACACTCCCTGACATTTTGATAAAGGAATTTGAATACATAACCCTTTTGATTTCCTTTTCAGTATTCAGAGAATACTTTATTAGTTTCTGTAATCAAACCTATGTGAATAAGACCTTAAGAGTTTAAAACAGTGCATTACCCTAGCACAAATTTTAAAAAGCAAAATAAACATCATTTTGGACCAATAGGGCTTTTATCTTCTGTACAATGCTCTTTTCTGTTTCTTGGTTTTGTTTTGTTGTTGTTGTTGTTGTTTGTTTGTTTTTTGAAACAGGGTTTCTCTGTGTATCTTTGGAGCCTGTCCTGGCACTCACTCTGTAGACCAGGCTGGTCCACTGAGATCTGCCTGCCTCTCCCTCCCAAATGCTGGGATTCCCCTCCAAGCTCTTTTCTGTTTCTTAAAGCAAGAGATGAGGCCTGGATGGTGGCACATCCTTTAAACCCAGCACTCAGGAGATAGAGGCATGAGGATCTGTGAGTTGAAGGCCAGCCAGGGTTACATAGTGAGATGCTGTTTCAAAAACAAAATAAAAACAGTAACAAAGCAGGAAGTGAAATTCCCATATATCAGCTTCCCTCACTGCATCAGAAAAAAAAACCATCACGCAGAGGCCCTGGATTCCATCCCCAGAACCACCCCGAGAAGATAATAATAGCTCGCCCTTTCAGTCTTCCCACTTAACTCAAGCACTTCTGCACACCTTAACTCTCCCTTGCCCACAGTATCTGAGTAACTGACTCCCCAGTGGCTTCTTGGGGTCCTTGTCTTCTCTTCCTCCTCTTCTTCACACTCCCTATTTCTTTCTGATCCTAGGAGTCTCAAGGACACTAGCAAGGCAATTGGGCCACAAGTCCATAAGTCTTCATTTCTCCATGCAAACCCTCTGATACACAAAACTTGAGTCAGAGAAATAGTATGCTTTTACTCCAGTTCATCCATCCCGTGTCCACTTAATTCTGAAATTCAACCAGGATCTGAGGGTAGAGTTGGATTCTTGCTTCTCTCTAAAAATCTATGTGAAACTTAAAAGCCAGCCAAAGGGAAGGGTTTGGTGTCAGGCAGGTGCAGCCTGAGGCAAACCACCAGGACCTGGGAGTTCCAGACCAGCCTGATCAACACAAAGACCTCTGCATAAATGGGAGTGGCGGGGACAACTAGGGACATAGATCTAGCAGAAAAGACTTTAACTTTAAGCCACAGAGGCACCAGCCCCTACACTGCAGATGAGGCTCCCAATGCAAACAAGCCAGGCCAGAAAGGGTCAACATCGACACTGGCTGCTTTAATGAGGCCACTGATCTTATCCTCCAGGACCATCACCTCACAGGCACGCAGGATGAGGGTGGAATAGATGCAAGCTCAGAGATGGAGGTTATGTTTCAGACTGCAGGCATGATGCTAGTTGCAAAAAGAAGGGAGGGCCTCACCACCACATGGCCTCAGCTTCCTCCGAAGGACCAAGCACCTTTGCAACAGCTGAGGAAAGTCTAAAATGATTTGTTTTGTTTTGAGATAGGGTTTCTTTCTGTAACAACCCTGACTGTCTATCTCTAAAACTCACAGAGATCCTCCTGCCTCTGCCTCCCAATGCCTCTGGGATTAAAAGCATGCACCACCAAACCCAGCTGTAAATGAATTCTTAATCATGTCTATATTTATCCATTCCATGTCAAAACTGGGCCTTTGAAGTGAGGATGCTCCAGCCAAACCCTAGTCTTGCCCTTGCTACTTTAAAAGACTACAGTGCATAGTTCCCTCTGAGCCTCATTCTGTTCATCTGTAAAATGGGTTGCTGATGCTATTAGACAATGCATTAGAATATTATTTCCCAGCTGGGAAGTAGTGGTGCATGCCTTTAATCCCAGCACTCGGGAGGCAAAGGCAGGCAGATCTTTGTGAGTTTGAGACCAGCCTGGTCTACAGAGAGAGTTCCAGGGCAGCCTCCAAAGCCACAGAGAAACACTGCCTTGAAAAAAAATGTTATTTCGCAAAGGAAGAGATCATTAACCTGCTGAGCACTGTCTGCCACGTGGTGAGTCCTTGGTCAGGATGTGTTAGTAACACACGATCATCTGCATCACAGGATATTCACCTGCTTCTTGATAAGGAGAGTCAGCATTAATAAATGCACTGTTTTATGTGCTCTATCCCTCAACCAATCCACTGCTGACCATACTGGACTAGTGACTGTAAGTCATCTAAACCCCGGATAGATTAGTGAGATGGCCCAGCAGGTAAAAGCATTTGCCACCTTCGCCTCAACCAGTGTTAGATCCCAGGCCCTGCATGGTGGGGGAGAAGTAACTCCTGCAAGTTCTGACCTGCACACCTACATATATGCACCATGGTATATGCGTGCGCTCTCTGTCTCTGTCTCTCTCTCTGTCTCTGTGTGTGTGTGTGTGTCTGTCTCTGTCTCTCTCTGTGTGTCTCTTTCTGTGTCTCTGCCTCTCTCTCTCTCTCCCTCTCTCTAATGCAATAAAATAGATAAATACACCAAAGATGGAAGATATCTTGTGTAGTAGTAACTCTGGAAGTAGAATCCAGGCTCACGTACGCTATAGTTGAGTGTTATCCCCAACCCAAGAGCATTTTGGGACACTCTGCTTCTAGATGGACCCAGCTGTTGCCTCCATTGTTCATCTTTCCTAATACTGAGCCAGACACAAACAGAACAAATTGCATGGGCATGGTCTAGTCAGAGAGCTTCAGATTTTTACTTTTCCCCCCATTCTGTAATGCTCAATAAGAAGCTGCTGCTTGTCGCCAGCACGGTCATTAGACTGCCCTTAACATGGCCAAGACTGAGGAGCTAATAAGGGAGAGGTCTATTTGGTTCACAGCTCTGGAAACCCTCAGCATCTGTTGAGAGGTCCTTGGGCTGCACCAGAACATGGCAGTGGCATTGCACAGCAACACAGAGTCAGGATGCTAGACAGAGCTTTCTTGATGGAGCCTCTCCTCCCACTGTCTACAAATGATGAAGGATTTGATCCATCAGTGAGGGTTCTGCCCAGTCATCTCCCAAAATTCCCACCTTTCAAATGCTGGCAACATGTAGCGCTGGGGATTCAGTTTCCAGCACATGAACTCTAGCGTAGCACCTGACAAGGTAGACGAGATCCAATTTTTCCCTTGACTGCAGTTTACAGACTTTATTACAAACCAATTTTCCCTCTGAAAAAGAGGGAAGAAATACTACTCTTAACGAGTTTTCTGTTTTTTCACTCTAAGTGAAATGAGGAAAATGGATTCACAGACCCCATAAGGAATCTGAGCAGGTGGAGAAGAGACCTGTAGAATAAGGGAAGGGTGGGTCTAGCAGGGAAACGGTAAGCAGGGGCTGTTTGTGATGTCTGTCTCCTCTACACAAGAACCAGAGCACAGATCCCTGAATGACACAAGGGACTGTGTTGCCTAACAGCCAGTCAGAGCAGACGATCTCCCAGGGAAAAGCATCCTCTCGCCAACTGAATGCAAGGTTTTCACATGTGTCCAAGTTGCTGTGGTAACACTTGGTGACTATGCCAATTCTAAATTTGCTAGGCTTTTATGAAAGACAATAGTGAAGTGTTTCTTACAAATCCCCTCCCTCTGAAACCCCCAAAGTACTACTGGAGAATAAATCCCAGGTGAAATGGCCTGAAGCACATCCCCTGCATAAAAAAATGCAGCATAAACATCTACCCACCACCCTCAAAAGAACATTCCAGAACCTTTACCCCAGGCAGTCTGCCAGGCTTAAGTGTCTCAATCTCATGTTTGCTAAACAGTTTTTTTGAGACCTAGGGAGTGA